TACTCTCAGAGTGGGCACCAATATTAAGCTGATGGGACCCAATTTGTTTTGTAGTCATTTAACAGTTTCAGCAGGAAGTTGCAGATTCTCCTTTTGATAAAGTATTTTAGAATCCCCCCATTCCTCTGAAATTTGAAGTTATATCTTTTGTTAGTGGTCTGTGCACTATTCTAAATCAAACCTCACTGCTGTAGGCAGGATAGGTAGAACAGTCTAACCTCCGTTTGACCCATGTGTGCAAGGTTTTATTGACATTATACATGCACTCAGAATGAGAGTGTACACCACACACGAATCAATGTTTTAAGTGTAAACTAAAGGATAAGAAACTTGCGCTTTCCCACCACTCTTGCTGTCATAGTTATTAATTACTTTTTACAGCAGCAGAAAATGTGTCTTATTTAAACAGGCGGAAATGAGTGGTTAGCATCAGCATGACCACCAGCTGTCACTGTGACCAAACAGAACTCCTTTGGTGCTTGTTCTTTCCATGAGAATCTATCTTTCCGCATACTTTTCCAAGCACTTGAACTGCAAATAAACGTCTGTGAATGAGTTACAGTTATTACCTATTTAACAGTTGTCTTCAATTGTTGTGGATAAAATCAAACATATTTAGTGAAAACTATCTCTTATTTATCAACAGCTTTATTATTAAACTACTTTGATACCGATAGAACACAAACTGCACATAATCTATCTTCAAGTATTACATAATTTCAAAATATTTGCAAACGCTTGTAAATTAGAGGTGACAGTTCAAAATGATTCAATAAAAAGTTTGAAGAGAAACAAAGACTGAACTGTTGAACAGAGTTGATATTTGTGACATATTTATCCTGAGATAAGATGGTTTCAAGCTGGTTGAGCTCTTCCACAAGTTCATTTTTTGAGGAGAACTGTGGGTGCACTGTCGCCCAACATTATGACTTTGTGCTCCCTAAAATATGATTCCTGCTGTGTCCTCCATGCAGCAGTTGATGCAAAAACTCATTCAAAATTATAAGGATAATCCAAAATTCAACCAAGGTGATTTTAATTTATTATTAATATTATTATCATTATTTTTTTTATTATTCTTGCACTTGCAGTGGGTAGTGAATAATTACATTTACTAGGCTACATTTACTTCAGTGATTTTCTGAAAACAAACAATAATTAATTTTAGTGTAAGAGTAATTTTAGTGAAACATACTTTTTTGGTTCAGTAATATAATAATTAACCAACAATACTCTAAGTTGAGAACATCTTTTGCCTCTCCGCTATTATTTTATTCATTTGATCTTGTATATTAGTCTTTAAAAACCCAAAATTGTGCATAAATAAATATTTATATATAATATTTATTTATTTCAAATAATGAATGTTCAAACATTAGAATACAATTAAATTCTAAGTACCTTTGGAGTGTTTTATCAAATACTATGTTTTACTTTAAATTGAGTCACTTATTGGATGGATGTTTTTTGCTTTTAATGCTTTTATTTGATGTAATCTTTGGGGACTCTACCACCTCTGGACAGCAAACACACACACATGCATGTTGTTTCACACTGCTCTTGTGGGGACTTTCCACTGAATTCCATTCATATTAGAGTCATTTCTATGGTCTAACTCTAACCTGCAGTAATCCTAACTCTAACTTTAGCTAACTTTAACTTAGTCTTTTTTTCTCTCCCTAGAAATAGTACTTTTCCTCCTGGAGACTAAAAGTTGGTCCCCACAAGTACCTATAAGTCCTGGGAAATTGTCCACACAGGGTAATGAAAACATGGCATAGCCAACAGTATTAGCTTGAATTATTTCCCACACAAATGAGTTTAAATAACATCTGGTTAAGTTCTTTCACACATAAACTTGCCCAATCATACTTGTTAGAACTTGCCTTGTGCAATGGTGTCATGTTCGGATGAGCAACATAACCAAAAATTCCAACTTTTACCACAAACATGGAAGCATAATGAGACTTTTTGCTAAAACCTTAGGTGTTTCTCTCTTTATTTTAAGCAATGCAATCTCATCAGTAGTATTCTACTGGAAACTAACAAACATAGAATAATGAACTGGTTTGCCTTTGCCTCCAGTCTCTTGCACTGCACTTGAGGATGCAAGTCTTACATTGTAAGACTTGCATGCAGCTGTTCAGCCATGAAAGGTCACTTAACTCCAGGCTGCTAATGAGTAAAAACAAAACAACGTAGTTACAGGTCAAAGTTGTGAGAATCATGTTGCTTCTATTATTATTCCAAAGAAAGGGGGCATTTTCTACATAGAATAAGTATTTTAAAGTTGAAATAGTATTAACTTCTTGCACACATTCTTTTAAGGATGTGCCAAATATTACAATAGCACCATCTTGTGGTAAACGCTGGTGGTGGATTGTTGATCATTTTGGATTGTTTTTAATTTTCTTTTTTGGAACATGTTGTGGTAAGTTTTATTTGGGTTATTTAAAGAGATCATATTCTGCAAACTTAATATGTATCTCTTTTCTAAGGTACCTGAATAAAATGACTAAAGGAAAGAATGCTTCTAAAAGTTACAGAATGGTAGAAATAATTGCTATACGACTATAATCATAATACAAACTACGATATCTCATATGATTGCCTATGCTCACAAGTTTGGAATGTGCATATGCAATATCAGTTTTTTTCAGTCCTGTAAAATTCATAAACATTTGAAAAAACTACTTTCTAAAATATCCAATTTAGCTGAGAAATAAGATTAGTTTACTATTATTTAATACAGTTCAAAAGGCTATAATTACACAATGAAATTACATTAGCTGTTCAACGTAACAACATAATTGCTATGTATTTTGAGGAAGTTTTTACTGGTTATGCAGGCCTCAGTTCCAATTTTAATTCCTGGCCTGTTTACCTTTGCTGCATGTCTGTTTGGGTCTGGGAGTTTTCTCTTTCATTTAACCTTTTTCTTCCAGAGGTCCTTCTCAAGCACTTTCCCCCTGAGTAGCAGGTTGATTGGATTCACCTGTTCCCCATTAAGCAGTGGATTATTTAAGAAGTCTGCTGTCATATATTAATAGAAATTCAACAAATACTTTATCGCATTCAGATGATGGGATTAATTCTAGTTTTTCTTTGGGTTCCTGTACATACAGTGTATAGGGCTAAAGGGAAATTAAATTGATATTAGACTTGCAATTAGTAAACCAGAAATTAAGAGCAAAATCAGGAATAAAATTAATTACAAAGGGCAAAAATGTGGGAAGAAGATATTAGCGGCAGATGGTTTTATAGAATACAAAGGAAGGCTGGAGAAATCAGAGGAAGTATTGGAAGAAACAGAATTCAGGAAAGGATAACAACTAGATTAAGGTTGGGGCACACAGGAATTAACTCAACATTACTTATAATGGGAAAACATGAAACAGGAAGATGTGATTTCTGTGGGGAAAGTGAGACAATGGAACGTGTAATATATAATTGTAGGAAATATTACAAAGACTGGAATTGTTGAGGTGTCTTAAACAGGAAAAGGAACAATTCAACATTGTAAACATTTTTTAAAAAGATTATTTTGACATGAGTTATAAATTTTTGTTTCGTTAGTTGTGGGTCACTGGTTTGGGAGGAAGAGTATAGGAAAGGAAATTACTTTCTTTTTTTTTTGAGCTTGTTAGTCTTGGTCCACACTCCTTACTTGTTGGTGACGGTAATGCACCATAATGTTGTTTGCCAACCGCCATTAAAATTAAATAGGAAGAATTAGCTGTCAGCTCTCCATTGCCAGAGTGTTAACATTTACAGATTAATGTTCCTAAGGGTTCAATCTCCTGAGAAACCCTCTGAGTTCTTTGGCTGTCTCCAAAGCTCAAGGTAAAGCCTTTGGTGCTTTTGAGCACCTTTAAAGTCATTGCTCCCTTCAACCTGATCTACTCACCAGGATTCCTTCGCTTCCACAACAAAAACACTGTCAGTATCAAAACTGACAGAATTTCCTGGATCCAACTCATCCTCCCCCCTGGCTGATAAACCCCAACCTCCAAAGAACCCAGCCCTTACCGTTCCTGGTTCCCAGAAATTATTTTGCATTGATTCTGTGGAAATAAACAGTTTTTCTCCTGTATGTGGGACAATATCAGAAAACCATGATAATGTCTTCCCAAATAAAGTGATGGAAAAACAAAAAACATTGTAGAAACTAATAAAATGTCTCAACAAATGCAAAATACAGATATTTCAACATTATTGGAAATGTGGAATTCACTATTTAAAAATAAAGGACGATCACAGATGAAAGTATCTGTTTTTCTGAGAAGGTGGACCTCAGTTACTGAATATCTTACTTAGGACTCTTGTACACTTTTACTATATCCATGTATTACTATTATTGCTGTTGTTATTATTAAGGCTTCTTTAAATCTAAAATATCCTTATTCTCCTAGAGTACAGAAATTGATAAGACATGCACTATACCCGCTACAGTGTGACAGACTAGACCCAATTTCTGTTTTATTTTTATTATTTATTGTTTTTTTTTGTGTGTGTTTATTTATCTTTTATGTTTGCCAACCACTTTCTGTTCCCCTGTATGATGCTAAATGCTTGATGACCATTTAAGGCAATAAAGTAAAAAAAATAATAATAATAAAATAAAGAACATAAATTCAACCTAAAGGGAGACTTTAAAACCATGAAACTGCATCACTTTATTGTTGTTGTTTTTTTTGTTTGCTTGTTTTGTTTTTTGTTTTGTTTTTGTGATTTTTAATAAATCAACAAAGTAATTTGATGGCTACTAGGTTGACCACAAGATGGCGACATACCAACATTTAGTTTGCCATCTTTAGGGAATCTAAAGATACAAATTTACCAATAAGTTGTTTTAATTTTTAACAGTTTCTTTTTTATCTCTATTGACGCGTCTCAAAGTAATATCAGAGGTCTCTGTAAAGTTGGTTTTAGACTTTGCTTTAACTTTTGTTTATATCACATCAGGGACTGAGAAGTGTGATTCCCTCGGTTCAAACGCATGTCTGTGCCACAGCCATGGCATGTGTTTGACTGCTGATTTTAACACTTGAAGACGTCAGTAAAGGCGGTCCTTTGTGCATACCGGAGCAGAGGGTTCATATCCTGCTCCATTAGTGGGGGAAACTCTTGTTTGCGCCTCATTCTCTTCTGGAAAACCCTGTGAGGACATCTGTGGGCTCAGCAGCATGGAGGGGTCCAAAGGAGAGGGGAGCCAAGCGGAGCAAGCGGCGTCTTTATTTGGGACGTCCGAGCTGGAGAGCCAGAGGATCAGCGCTCAGCAGAGGAGGAAGGGGGGTCACCTCTGTAAAATCATAACTGGGGTATGTGTTGCAGCTCCAAATAACTCTAAGCGTTTAACGGGCAAACAAAAGGAACTCAGTTATTTCAAAAGGTTTCAGTGACTAGAATAAATGTTAGTTTTGTTTTAATAAAATAGCACAAGCTGTGGAAGCTGTTTCAACTTGTAAAAATCACTTCTTTTTCTTATTATCAGCTGTAATTCAATTTGGACCTTTTTTTTGCAACATTTCTTTAATTAATCAGCAAATAATAAGTCATTTGAATTGACTTTACACTAAAGAAAACCTCTATCTAGTACAGGGGTCACAGGCTCATTTTAGCATTTTCACCTTGTTTGCTTTGACTGTCATAAATCCTCCGCTGCCAAGGCTGAGAATGTCAGTGGTGCCAGAGTTAATGTGGAAACTAACTGTTTTCACCTCAGTGCAAAGGCACAGAGTCCAGGAGAGGCCCTGCAGGTGTCCTGCAGTTGTCTGTAAACCTGACCTGGATTTTCCAGTGTTTTTTGTTTATCCTAAGGGTTTGAGTCAATTGGAAAGGTATAAACACACAAAAACTGGTTTTCTGCTCAGGTTTTTCTATTTGGTGTTGCAAACTTCCCTTAAAGCTTCCCTTAAAATTGTAGTACGGGGTGCTGGCTATTCATTAAATTCATAAGAGCTGAAATCTCCCCTTTGCAGGCTTTAAATGCATGTTATTTGTTGCACTTTTTAAAATCAGTTTCAGTGTATGCCATGAGTGCAACAATATATTTATATCCTTTAGATTTTCCCACTTCCTATAACTTAAAGAGGGATGATACATAATTGACCAATAAGCGAATGCACAATTTTGAAGTAGAAAGGATCAATAACATTTAAATGTTTTGTTTTTACAAAGTAAAATCAAAAGATTGAGATGTGTTTAATTAAGTACTAGGCCCACTGTTCTCAGATATATGTAGATACATACCAAAGCAGTCCAATGTGTAATTTTAGGTCATAACAATCAGTTCTTCAAGAACATTTTTCATTATTCTTGAGTAACAAAGAACACAGCAAGATAACAGGGTAAGAATAAGAAGCAATATTTCATGTTTTGAACATGAAGCACTGTTCATCACACGTTAAACTGATTGTTTAAAAAGGAAAACAAAAGCAACAATTAACCAAGACATCGCTGTCCCCCATGATTTGCAAGCAGAAGCAGCCTAGAGAGCTTCAGAGATGCGCAGCAATAGCAGGAGAATCATTCATCTGGATAATTATGATTCAGACACTCCAGTTCTGATCTAAATTGAAGGGTCACAGCAATACATTGTTTAAAGGAAATCATTAGAAATTGTGGCTATAAATTGTTATTTAGCATACAGGAGACCTAGCAGATCTATAGAAGAACATCTGATGATATGACATCAAAATTAAACTTATCTGCATACATGCAAAGCTTTACTGAGCTAACTATGCTTATTACTCTATGGTGGTAGTCATGTCATGATGTGGGGACGCCTCTCTTAATCAGAGTCAGGGAAATAGGATGACTTTAAATATAGGGCAACCCTGCAAAAAAAGAATCTCAGAATGTGATGTTTTAGATCGTGGGTGTTTTTCAGTTTCGGCACAGCTGATTAAGGTGATTGCACTTCAGCAAAAGCCTGTAATCAGCTGTGCTGAAGATGGGAAATCTCTACCAGCTGGAGCTTTGTTTAAATTGGCATGGTTCTCATAGCAATCATAAATATCTTATTTTACTCATTAAATGTGGAATAGCATAGAAAAGAACTTTTTTTTATTTTTTCAGAGCTGTTGTTGTTATTGTAAAAAAAAACAGACACCCAACTAGTATTCAATGTGTAACTCCAAGATTTTCATATGTTAAAACAAATTTAAACACATAGAAAAATAAAGTACTACAAAAAACAACGTTTTGGATGTTGTAGGTCATAGCGTGAATATGTGTGTTACTGTAGTTTGCCTAAATACCATGTATTTAATTTTAGTTGACAGTTTAAATATTGCTTATTGACCACATAACAAGCTTAGCTATGCATGAAACTTTCAGGATCACCGCTTAACCTGGATCAGACATTTAAGTTCAGCCTGAAAGGGTCTTCTATTCCCAGAGTTGAAGGTTTCTTAAAATAGCCAACTTTATTAATAACAGAGACCAAGCACGCCCACTCCGAGTGGAGGCAAAATCAGCATTAGGTGAGGAGGAGTAAAGAGGAAAAAATATATCTGCTCTGAGATGTTTTTATGTAGCTATGGTAAGTTAAAAAGAACAGATACATAAATAAATCTGTTTTTCATCCTAAAATACTAACCTTGTGATTAAAAATGGATGCTATCCTTCTAAATTATAAACTGAACCCATTTGTTATTTCCTTCAAGCTGCGACTCAAAACCACAGGAATACCAGATGTCTGTTTGGCACTGCAGCAGAGTCTAGACAGTGCCATGCTCCATGACAATGCATATGTTTGTAGCAGAAATACTTTAAGGCTTTGAAAATAAGTAGCTGGAATGTTTTTTCAGAGCTAAAACATCACGTCCAACCTTTATCTCAATCAGAGGGATGATTATCCTCATATGTCTGACGAGTTTTTAAGCTTTTGCTCTTCAACATCAGTTTAACCTTGCATCTTTACTTCACAATAGTAGCCTAGACTAGCGATTTTGATGAACCAAAACAGTAAAGTATCATTTAGAGTCAGACTTGTAGGTTCGCTCGAGACAAACTGTGTACTTTTACTTCCCACATAGACCACATGCAATGCTTTCAGTAAAGCCTTTCCAGGTTTCCTCTCTGAACACCTTTCTCTAAAGAAAATGAAAGGCAGCAGACACCTCAGAAAGCAGGCATGCATAACAGATCCTCATAACTGTCTGAGAATGCCACAATCATGTGTGAATCACAATAAGAGGATACTCTATCTTGTGCTTCACGGTTACTCTCATCCTGTTTTTTAAAATGTTATCTTTTAAGTACGGTGCTCAGGTAATGAAGAGATCTGTAATATACCTCTTGTTCTGAAGCAATTTTGAAATAAAATAAACAATTGGTAGCTTTTCTTATGTAGGCCCACATTTGATGAAATTTGTAAATATAAAGGCTTAGGATACATGTGGTCATATTTGAGAGAGATTTCCTAACATTTCTGCCAACAAATAAACTATACAAATATTTATCTTGCATTTATTTCCATATTTTACTATTTCTTTCCAAAAAAAGTAATATTTATTTAAATCCACTCATTTGGAATGTGCCTTTGAATTTAATGAGAAGGAATTTAAGATTACTCTTCCAGCAAAGTGGGAACAGGATGATCAAAGAAAAAAAAATATTTAATTTGAGCAACACAGGAGATGCCAAGCAGACTGTCTCAGACTGCAGGGTAAGTAAACAACCACAATAACCACTGAGGGTCTGTTTTAGGCGTTGCTGTCAGTGACGTATGTGCAGAACGCCCCTATCATGCCATAAACAGAATGTTTTTTCTTTGAAACGCCCGTCTAATTGCAAACACCCCCCCACCCTCCTGATCAGATGGAATCTTAGCAGCACTTTGCTGACTTTTCAGGAAAACATTTTAGTAGACTGACAAATTTCAGTTTTAAAACAATGAAAATATGCTTAATAACTTTGCTTATAGGATTTATGGTGAAAGAGAATAGAATAGAATAGAATAGAATAGAATAGAATAGAATAGAATAGAATAGAATTGAATAGATATCCCTTTATTTTCAAGAATGGGGAAATTCTGGTTTTTATTGCAGCAAAAAGATTATTGAAAAAACTGTCACACAAATGTGGACCTTAGAAGAATTTATAAGAATAACACACTATTGAAGAGTTAAAAGATAAACAATAAAATTATGTACTGTATAGTGTTTTAACAATATACAAACAATTGTGCACAGAGAGAATAAATTAACCAATATCCAGCTATGGACATTTTTAGAGTAATGGATAATAGCAGCAACATCAGAGATGTGCAAAATGAAAGCAGCATGTTATTTAACTGACTAAGATAGAAACTGCAAAATCAGCATGAATTTTACAACTTATTAAGGTTGTTGGGAACAGTGGTGGTTATAAAGTCTTACAGCTGCTGGGAGGAAGGATCTGTGATAACGCTCCCTGGTGCATTTAGGGTGCAGCAGTCTGTCACTGAAGGAGCTCTCCAGTCCTGCAACAGCTTCATGCATTGGGTGGGAGACATTATCCAACAGATAATGTGAGTCCAGAGGGCCTTCCTGATCAGCTTATCTAGCCGCTTTCTCTCAGCTACAGATAAGCCACTGCTCCAACAGACAGCTCCATGGAAGATGGATGCTGCCACAACAGAGTCATAGAAGGTCTTTAGAAGCACCCCCTGCATTACAAAAGACCTCAGTCTCCTCAGCAGGAAGAGTCTGCTCTGACTTTCCTTATACAGAGCCTCAGTGTTATGAGTCCAGTCCAGTTTGTTATTCAGATGAACACCTAGGCACTTATAAGAGTCCACTATCTAAATGCAGAGCCAGTTCTATTTTGACAGCTTTAACTTGTAACCTATAGACTAATTTTGAGTTTGCTAAAATGTTTATTCTGGTGATGTAAACTGCAACCTGTTGTCTTTTCCAGCTACTCCTGCTGTGCCTACTGATCGTCATTCTGGCTGTGGTGATTTTTGTAAAAAACGACGAAAGGAGCATAGGTAAGACTGACAATAAAAAACTGAAAATATTTTACAAAATCAACACTTTTAACTATAAATTATTCCTTTTAAGAAATTAAATTAAAGGCTGTTTTTACAGTATTGTATTGTTGGAGTGTTAAATTCTCTTTGCAAAAGATACTTTGAAAGAAAATTTGTCTAAATCATCCTGAGAGGGGTAAATACAGAGCAATTACTGTTAATTGTTGGTTAGATAAAAACACTATTTTTTCAAGCAGCTCAATCAAAGATTAGATTTGACACATCTCAGAAACAGCTCTCTTTTAATTCCCCAAAGTTAAGATTTAAGGATTTTCTACAAATTCTGATGAGCTCATTGTTCCCAGTTTTAGATCTCAATGCTTCTTTCAATACTATTGACAAGCAGCTATTTATGAGAACATATGTGTCACTTGTGAAAATGATTTCCTTTTCTGCAGGATTTACTAGAGGTCTGTACTGCTGTTTACCTTCTAGTTATGCTCAAAAATCAGAACCCCTAATCAAAGCCTGTGTGTTTGGTAACATACTTAATATGATGGATAGTTAGTCTGAATTTCAACAGTATGCCCTGGATAGTGAAGCTGTTTTTTCTTTAAAAAAAAAAAAAAGATAAAAACTATCCGAAAAAGTAATGCTGCTGAATGTAAATGTAAGAGTAAAAAGCATGGCATGATCAAAACAATACTTTGAACCCTTCAGAAAGAAATAGGTTGTGAGTCTGGTTAAAAATTAAAGTAGATTGCAACGGAAATTTAAATGAACCATTTCACTGCATGGAAGGAACAGTATTGTACAAGTGGAAGACTTTCCCAAGATCCCTACCCTGCAGGAATACTGCAAGATACAAAGGCAAGGCTTCATGAATTATGATTTCATTACAGCTGAAAAAGGTGCATGCCTTTACAGTTAGAAAGTGGCTATACAAGTTTCATATTCATGAGGATGTCCTAAGACAAAACATGTATCTACACAAGAAGTCATCTTAGAAATGGCTACCTCTACAGTACCTCTAGTTTTTTGTGCATAGTTCAGGAAGATCCACTTTATGTTGATTCTAATATCTTATAATTGAACTAAGTTGTTGTGATTTTATGTTCTTTACTATTCCCAGCCCGCTGGGAATTTATGTTTCTGATACTTTAAGGTGTTTATTGCCCTCCCTGTAGGGGTGGTAAAATATCTTATTTAATCAGACATTATTTCAGCTGTTATATAGTGTTTATGACACACAGTCCTACTAACTGTGTTAGAACAATAGATGAAAGAGTGATTCGAGCACTAATCATGGTCAGTTAATTCTGCACATACATGGAATACATTCACCACAACTTCTGTTCAAAATATAAGAGTTTATTAACAAAAATCATTCAGCTCCAAGTCAAATGTGTTTCAGTTTAACACTCTCAGCTAAGACTAGTAAAACTCAACTAAACTTAATTAACTACTATGTACAAAGAGGAAGGGGAAAAGGTTGAAAAACATATTACAGTTTAAGATGGATTCTGTGTTTGAAATCAAAGTTTATCTGGAAGAATTTGGGATATGATCAAATTAGCTTTTCACTCATTTTAAAGAAATTGGAATGTTTTCAGACCAATTCACAATGCAAATCCATGAGGTAAATAAAACATTATTTGGCCAAATAATGTTTTATTAAATATTTGCTTAATCAAGAAGCAATAACCTTTAGCTAAATGATTATTTACCCTCTTTGAAATAGCTAGCAGCAAATAGACATCAGGATTCCACTAAATGACTCTTGGTCATACTCGGTAATGGAAATGTAATGAGCATTTGAGGAACACATGAACACTAATGTTATATCAGTGTTTAAATCCTTAGTGAATAAAGCTTGTCTAAGCTTTAGCAACAGCTCAACACATATTCCTGTAGCATAGCGTAGCATGCAGTCCATTCTTTAGCATCAATTAGCGTTGTCTTTACTCAGCAGTAAACACACAATATAATTAGCATCATCAAAAGACATATTGTTTGTTCTGTCCCTAATCATGCCAGACCTGCAAACCTTTTTCCATGTCCATTTGGAAAGCTTGAGTTTCATCCAGTTTTGCAGTTTTGCAGTCAGGGGCTCTTTGTCTCAGTCTCACAGCAGAGGTCTCCTCAGTCTTACACCCAGGGCATGGTCCTCATCCAGTTTGGCTCTAAAAGTTCTGAAACTCAAGAGAAATGTGTTGCAAAAGGTCTGTTTGCAGCAGTTCGGTTCTGAAAGGTTCTGACTTAGCCTTGATGGTTCTGGGGATCTGGTTCCCCTGGGGCCCGCATCTCCACTGTGGTGGAGATCCAGCCACAGGGGGCCCCAGCTTTGAGCGCAGGAGCAGAAGAGACCAGGAGCAAAAGGAGGCAAAAGAGAGAGAGTCTTGTGTTCTCTGTGGTTTTGTTCTGTCCTCACAGAGGGGGTGGTGGTTGGTCACATCTCTGTGACTTGCCATGTGACTTGCCTGTGGAGGCTTTGCCTGAAACGGGGGTTGTTGCAGAGATTCCACAGCTGATTCCACATCATCATGTCAAGATGAAATATGGACACTGGTTCCCAATGTCCAAAAAGTATGATCATGGCATATGGCACAACAAAGTTTAACCTAATTGGGGAATTTTGTATTGTTTTTCTAATTCCGAAATAGTCAGCTTTACCAACAGACTGAGCAAAGAATGACTGCCGTTATGTCTTAGCAGCTATGTTCATACGATTAAACTTTTTAAAACAAGTTCCTTTGTTTGTTTTCAGATTATTTCACTTTTTAAATTGCAGGACGCTAGTTTGTAGCGCTGCGCGATGGTCTGTTGGTTTGCACCTGAAGCCAAAACACGCAGTGCCACAGCCAGTATTTCAGGAGGTCTCACTGGTGAAATGTGTGTTTTCCGTCATTGGATGAGGGGTTGTAGACGGTTCACGATTGTCCCTCTTGCGTGTGGTGTGGAATAAAATAGCACAGACCACACTTCAAAATTGGGCATAAATCAAAATATATCTGCTTCATACCTGCGACAATCTAACTGCGACACACTGCTGCGGGAGTATACACAGCCCTTGAGTAATTATAAGTGAGGTGACTGGAGGAGTATATCTACACGGACACAAGTGAGGTTTGAGGCAGCAGATGAAAGAGTTCTCCTAGGTCAGCATGTCCACCTCAACAGCATGGATCTCCAGAATGAATGAAGCTTGGAAAAAAAATGTAATATATAAGTGAAGTCTTTCTCAAGGAGCTGAGAAATAAGGTCTGAAATCTAATAGGTAGGTAAGCAATCGACCTGAACTTTAACCACAGGTAGGTTATGCTTCAGTACTGAACTGAGAAGTAGCCATATATCCTCAGGAAGATGACAATCAGGGGTGCTTTGTTAAGTAGAGAGAGTAAATTCGGCTTCAAACATACTTCTTGTGTCCACTCCGTCATTTACCTCAAAAAAGTGACACAACACGTCCGTGCCCATCCATCCATCCATTTTCCTTCATGCTTCTCTCTGCTGGCGTTAAGAGGTGTGCTGGTGCCATCTTCAGCTTTCAATGGGCGAGAGGCAGGATACAACCTGGATAGGTCGCCAGTCTATCGCAGGGAAACACAGAGACAAACAGGACAGACAACCATTCACACTCACACTTAAGGAGAATATATGTTTTAGAGAAGCCAATTAACCCAACATTCATATTTTTTGCTGGAAGGCAGCAGTGCTACCCACTTTGCAGCCACATGTCCATGCATTGCTTCTTATGTTGAAGTGTAAGAAATCAGGTTTACTCTCCCCGTGTCTGACTTCCTATTTTTCAAATAGACTCAATCCACATATCTGATGGACCAGGGAGAGGATCTATGTGGTATGTTGCAGTGGAACAGAGTTTGTAGGAATTTCCACATTGACTATAGAAAGGCATCTGTGATGGAAAGGAGGACACTCAGATAAAGAGGTCTGTGTGAATGAGGGGTCAGATGGCAGTACTGGGAGGACAGAGAGAACTGGCAATAAGAATAGTCAGGTACTTTCTTTATAATAGCTCCAACTAAAAACTAATAAAACAAAAGTTAATATTACTATTCTAATAGAGGGGTGCCTGTGGTTTATTACTAGATAAAAAAAGTAAAACAAAAGACTAGGGTATACTCAATCGTAGGGGCTCTATTTTTTTCAGCAATAATTCATTTTATGTTTTATCAATCCTTTGCCAGTATTTGACAGCTTTGTAGTGGATTTCTAAAGTTCAATTAAGAATTACTGAACTAAGATCTTCAGATATTTACTGATTTCACCTAAAAGTTGATATAAAGCAGGACAGAAGGACCCAGTATTCAAAGCGAGACAGACAGTCAGATAATTCACAGCATTTATTAAGTATTCCGTAAAAATTCAAAAAATATCCACTGGACTTGGTTTCCAAGATTTGAAGATGTTTCGCCACCTCTCCAGGAAGCTTTCTCAATTCAAATGTCTGGATCCGCAGTGAGTTTGAGTCTTATACAGACAAAGCCTTGTATCGCTTGGAAACATGCAAATGGTAACCGATGAATGGGTCGTTTGGTTCCATCGTTAGTCTGTAATATCTGAAACCTGTCTATGATTCTGAGGGTCGGTTGTTAAAGGGGGAGGATTGCCGTTAAGGGGGGGATTGTCTCCTGTAATACCTGAAACCTGTCTATGATTGTTAAGAGTCGGTCGTTAAGGAGGTATTGTTCGCCGGCTGGAGCAGGTAGGTCCCTCGTTCATCTGTGATGGGGTGGGGGGTTTGATGATATCTGGAAGGGATCCTGTCTTGAATTGTATGTTTTTGGAAGCTGGAATCTGAGTCCACCATCTCTGTTTAAAGTTGTTTTTTCTCTCTTAACATAGATGGCTTCCTTCACGCCCCTCTCAAACCACCTATTTTCTTTATCTAGAATGTGAACATGCTGGTCATCAAAATAATGTCCATTTATTAAATAGAAGTGGGCTGTGGATCTGCTGTATCAGCTGCTACAGCGGGGCACTGCCCTTCACTGGAA